TCACCGAGCGCCAGTACTTGTTGACCCGCTGAGCGAGAAGTAGGGTTTTCTCGTCGACGAATAAGAGAATGTTCTCCAAGAGCTCCCAGGTCAACGTGACCAGTTTGAAGCCGGTGAAGCCATGAATATCTGGCCACGGCTTCCAGTGTATTGTGGTCACTTCGTCCTCCTCCATGATGAAAATTGCACTGTCCTTCGTTTCCGGGCTGTCCTCGTGATCGCCATATCGTGGGTCTCCGTCGTCCATTCTTGACCATATCGTTGCGCTGATGCATTTATCGTTCTTTTTCGGCTTTGAAACTTCTAGAGAGAAGGAAATATCAGTCTCGAAGAGAGAAGGAAAGCTCCATCTCGGAGAGAAGGCGATTGAAATACTCTGCGGGTTATATATTCACTTTTAAGTTTTCTGAAGGTGGCTTGTGGAGCAGCCGTTGCAAAGCAATCGTGGCCTTTCTGCACTGCATCATGCCTTCGGTGGCATCATGGATGATGCTTGTAGGCTACGTGCAAGAACTGGCATCATGGAAGGTTTCCTCTGTCAAAGTCAAGCTCGCTATCTGGCGCCAATATGGCCTGGGACCCGAGCTGCGGCTCAAAGGGTCTTCCCGCGCGTGCAATTTGCTGAGGCATCACCAAACAATCGGGTGCCATGCGAATCATCTCCAATAATAGCATAGAGCGCATGCCGTTCATGCTTCGCTCGTCATGCTTTTGTTCAAGAGATTGTGCGCCAAGCCCTTTGCGGAATACGCTTCAGATCGTAGACGTTGCACAGCTGTCAGGACTTGGAACAGATCGGCCTCGAGAAAACAGCCATCTGCCATGCACCTGGAGAGACCTTTGCAGTCTAAACCTTGGAACGCGATGTTGAGAACGTAATAGACAACAAGGTCAAAACCTCAGACCAGACTATGTACCTTGCTGACCCATGGATCACCGTATCCCAAAGCACAGCTCGTGAGGAAATAAACACGTTGAATGCTGTGCGAGAGACCGTGAACCACTTTCAGAGTCTGATGATGAGGCTTCCGGGAGGAAGGCATAACGTTGAACAATAGGCTTCTGCCCAACGTCCAAAACCAAAACCCTGATGCCAATTCCGCTAGAGTTGAACGCAGATATCATGTCATCTCCCAGCTCCTGGTACAATGCCAGAACAACGGCGTGTAATTTAGGGAACAGAAAGACAAGTCATTATCAGGAGCTGTCGAAGTATCTGTGACACCAAGTCTGGTTGTCTTGTCTGGGTTGTCTGGTTGGCGGGGCGTGGGTGTCCGAGGCGGCTTAATTAGTACTCGCTCTATAACAAATAGCTGATAACTGAATGCAGCACTGCCCCCCTAATGGCATAGAAGCTCCCGTGACCGAGGTGAAGAGTGAGTGGCGCTCCACTGATGAGCCGTACAATCACGTGGTCTCCTGCTGACTAGCCAACAGCCAATGAGCATCGGGCCATTTCGGAAACTGCCTCACCTCTCTCAAGCGATTTTCGTCGACCTTGAATCGGTAGACTTTTCGACGTCAAGTCTCCAGCGACCAACAACCAATTGCCCCTCGATACCGATAGCGGCTGTCTCAACGGCTGAGGATACAGCTCGCCCATCATGTTGGCAAGGTCCTGCCTGCGCTCGACGCGCGCGCTCCGAAATGCACCCATCACCATCGCCAAGGTATGACCTGATCACGATTTCCGGTTTCCCGAGGCATTCATTCATCACACGACATGGCCGGCCCACGGGGAGGCATCAATCAATTGGGGCCTGGGCTGGGGAGAAACGATCTTGGAGTCGAGAAGATGCTGACTTGTTCCATCAACAGCGTGCGGCGTCATCGTCCAGCGGTGCGGCGGAGGCTGCCCCTGCTTCTCTGAACATCGCTGCCATCGCTTCGACCGCCGTTGCCGCTGGCTCCATGGCCTGGTACTACCATCTCTACGGCCCTACCGCTCACGCCATGACCGCTGCCGAGGAAGGGTAAGTGCTGACTCTCTTACAATATTTTTTCGCGTCAAGGGAGATGCAGGCTTCACAGCACGTTGATGGGCAATGCGGCATATGAATTATCAGGCGATCCGAGTCTTTGCAGTATCGATCGATGTGAGCTCCTCACTAACGGCGCCTTCAGTCTTCACCCTACCAAGTACCCCTGGGTCCACGAGCAGTGGTTCAGCACCTTCGACCACCAGGCGTAAGTCAATGGCCCCCGTATGCGAAATGGTCATTTCGCCGTCCCTAACCATTCGCCAGTCTCCGCCGTGGTTTCCAGGTCTACCGTGAAGTCTGCGCCTCTTGCCACTCCCTCGCTCGTATCCCTTACCGATCCCTCGTCGGTTCCGTCTTGACCGTCGACGAGGCCAAGGCCCTGGCTGAGGAGAACGAATACCCCGGCGAGCCCAACGATGAGGGCGAGATTGAGATGCGCCCCGGCAAGCTTTCCGACTACCTTCCCTCCCCCTACAAGAACGACGAGGCTGCCCGTGCGGCCAACAACGGTGCTCTGCCCCCCGATCTGTCCCTCATCGTCAAGGCTCGCCACGGCGGCTGCAACTACATCTTCAGCCTTCTCACTGGTTACCCCGACGAGCCCCCTGCGGGCGCTCAGGTCGCCCCCGGCATGAACTTCAACCCTTACTTCCCCGGTACCGGCATCGCCATGGCTCGTGTTCTCTTCGAGGACCTTGTCGAATACGAGGACGAGACCCCTGCCACCACCTCGCAGATGGCCAAGGATGTCGTCGAGTTCCTCAACTGGGCCGCCGAGCCCGAGATGGACGACCGCAAGAAGATGGGCATGAAGGTCCTCATTGTTTCTTCCACCCTCTGGGCCCTCAGCGTCTGGGTCAAGAAGTACAAGTTCGCCTGGCTCAAGAGCAGGAAGCTCGTTTACCAGCCTCCCAAGCAGACTGATGTTCGCCGTTAATGGGAGCACCTTTGGTTGTCTCTGTGTATGTTGTACTAGGCTCTTAAAATCAAGCTCCTTTGTCTGGTGGAGGCGGCAGAGACAAGGCGGAACGAGATTCGTCGTTGGGAGCAAGGAGAGCGATAGAGTGTAAATCAGATGACCCTTTTCTCAATACCTACCCTAGCTTGTTTCACCCTCTATGACACCGCTGTGATGAATGCAATCGAGCGTTTGTAACTGCTAGTCCCTACTTGGACGAGTAAACCCAGCGACCTGTAGAGGCATGGGAGAGGCCAGTGCACCGCGACGTGCAGGTCTGTAGTCTGGGAGAGCAGAATGGCTATGCCCAAGCAAATAACATCAGACGAGGCAGTGAACAAACCAAGACTCCGCCATTTAATATGCCAAAGCCACCAAGTGCAAATTATGAGAGCCAGTGAATGCAGATAGTTCAGGTACCTATTGGAGAACAGACGTCCTGCGAATATCGGCGGCAACTGCATGCCTAGTCAGGATGCCGCGCTGAGCGCGCCTGGCCATTAGCTGCATCAATTACCCGATATGTTCCACGGAACGACCCGACATGGGTCGCCCGGTTGCCTCATACCAAACGACAACATCCTGCTTAGTCGATGCACTCAAGGTCAACACAACTCCTCTCTCATTTCAGTCTTTGCCTCTCGTGCCCTCTGGTCTTCGACCTCGATCTTTCAGATTCCCGCTGAGTGAACGCCCCGATAAGGACCGCTGGTGCCTTCGACTGGCTCCACCTGCTCCAACTGAATCGCCGCCGACCGATAGCTTTGCGCTCTCTTCGGTGCTTGGACTGTTTGCTCTCGACAGCTTCTGCCACAGCAAGCCCACCTCGACCACCCGCGCTCACTCATTCTTTTTCGCAAGATGCCGTCTGTCGCCGAGGAACATCCCCGAGTCTCGTCTGCCGGTAAGAAGCGCAGACGAGACAACGATGTAGACAGTCTCCAAGGTGCCATTTACGAGTAAATAACAACCTAATCCCCTCCGACGTCTCTGCAGAACAGCTACTGACACAAACCCCTCTCGACAGACAAGCCCAGCACCATATCCAGCAACAATATGCCTTTGCCGACTTTGGAAAACTCCTCCAGCATCACGACGCTGCCCTCCCGCTGGACGCCTACGACAGTCTGGCGAGGAAGATCATGCCCATCAAGCGCCAGCGTTTCTTGGAGGCTGAGGACGACAATGCGACGTACAACCCTGACGGCCACCACCGGGCCCGGAAACACAGCCGCTCGCCCTCGGGCGCAGCCGCCTCCCGCCCGCCTCCCGCCCACCGTCTCACATCCAGCGCCGCGCTCGCCCCTTGTCACGTGTGCCACCGCCGGCCGACGAAGAAGTCTGACCTCGACTCGTTCGCCGAGTGCCACGGCTGCAAGGCCCGCACGTGCTTCGTGTGCCTGCGTTCATGCAAGGGCTGGATGCCCGAGGCGCAGCAGGGCGAGCGGTCGAGTGATGCTGAGAGCAGAGACTACGAGGAGGCTCTCTCGCGGTCTTTTCACATGGGGGACGCCGACGATGCTGCCGACGGACACCGGGTTGATCTCGGGCAGGCCGAGACGCAGGGAGAGCAGTCTGCCGTGGGGTCAAGACCGGCAGGAGACGGCTGGAGCTCCATGCGCCACCAGCAGGTTGTCTGCAGTAAATGCTGCATCGAACGAGGGCAAGAGGGGGATGTGGTCTGTCTGGGCTGCCTCTCTCAGATGTAATCTGGTTTGCTGTGCGTGCGCGACAAGGAATAGTTGAGGAGGAGACGGGTCACAGATGGGCCATCACACGACGATTCATGATACCACGGGCGTTTGCTTTTCACACTGCATGGGAAGGATTTCCATGTCGAACGACTGCGCTGGGCGGAGGACATATTACGAAGGGCTCAGACACTACGCTGAACACACATTTTACTACGGCGTTACAGGAATCCGGGGGCATTTTTAAGGAAGAAGTAGATAGACAATATCGGACACTGGGACGCACTCCTCGGGTTCGACTCTCAATATCGTAACCAGTCTCCGCATCATGGCAAGCATCACAGGTCAGAGATTTAGTTCATCCGCTGTGGTTTGCAAGCCCGGCATTTCGATTGTGGTACTAGACTCCAAATCGTCCATGTCCAGCGGTAATGATTCTCAGCACGATCTATTCATCCCGCATCAGGGGTCTCGACGTCAAGCCTCTAAAAGCCAGCCGATCCCGTGTCTACAATTACAGCTTGAATACACGCCCTGCAACCCCTCCGCGCTTAGTTGTACTGCATGTAGCTGGCAGTCGAGTTGAACTTCAGGTTGCCCTTAATGACCTTCTCGACTGCACTGAGGAAGTCCTTCTCGGTCGCAACCTTTCTCCTGGCGCGAATGGCGAACATGCCCGCCTCGGTGCACACGCTGCGAAGCTCGGCACCGGTCGCGTTGGGACACAGGCGTGAAATAAGCTCCCATCGAATATCACGCTCGACGGACATGCTCTTGGCATGAATACGCAGAATGTTGGCGCGGCCCTCGAGATCGGGCAGAGAGAACTCGATCTTGCGATCAATACGGCCAGGTCGCATGAGGGCGGGATCAAGGGTCGAAGGCCTGTTGGTGGCAAACATGACCTTGATGTTGCCGCGGGCATCGAAACCGTCCAGTTGCGTGATCAGTTCCAACATTGTCCTCTGCACTTCGTTGTCGCCTCCAGCACCATCGTCGAAACGGGCACCACCCACGGCATCGATTTCATCGAAGAAGATGATACAGGCCTTCTTCGTCCGCGCCATTTCGAACAGCTCGCGGACCATCCTCGCGCCTTCACCGACGTACTTCTGAACCAACTCGCTACCAATGACACGAATAAAGGTGGCGTCTGTTCGATTCGCGACAGCGCGGGCGCAGAGGGTCTTTCCGGTTCCAGGAGGTCCGTAGAGAAGGGCGCCCTTCGGAGGGTCGATGCCCAGGTTGACAAATCGTTCCGGCGATAGCAGAGGCATCTCGACGACCTCGCGTAGCTTCTCGACTTGCTCCTTGCAGCCACCAACGTCACCATACGTGACATCGGGCTTCTCTTCGACCGTCATCATGGTGACGCTAGCGTCGATCTTGGGCGGCAGCGGGAGCAGGATTTGGTATTTGTTCCTGTCGACTCCAACCCGCATGCCCTCCTCAATATCTGTAGGGCTGACGCGCTCGCCGAGTTGTACAACAAACTTGGCGATCTGCTTGACATTGATGACGTATTTGCTTTTGGAGTCGTCCTTTTCGTCCAAAATGATCTTCGTGCAGCGTGCCACCTGCAGTGGTTGTTCTTCCGACATTCGTTGACGATCGGCGGCGACGTCCCAAAGGTGCGGTGGTGCGAGACCAGTATCAGATTCCTGGTTGATGTGATTAGTCGTGAGTCGGGAAGTGTCCAGAACAGCCACCAACCTTGACACCAATCTTCTCATCTACGCTCGCTTGCTTCTCCTTGATCTGCTGCTCCAGCTTCTTGATAGCGGCACCATACGGCGCAGCGCCGTAGGTTTTCAGAACCTGGATATCTCTGTCGACAATGTGTCAGTGGCAAGTAGAGACGGGCCGTGGGGGTAGACTGGTGTCGACGAACTCATCGGTGAGGGGTGTGATCTTCTTCTCTTCAACTTCGTCATCGGCGAAGTTCTTCTGGTACTTCTCCCAGCTCTGGCCAGTGGCGGAAGGCTGATCTGGTTAGCGACTGGGTTTGTCGCTTGGGGACTTCTCGAGGGACGTACCATCGCGAAAGCTGAAGATGCGGCACCTTGACGCCGGCTTGGCTATGTCAATGTCTTTTTCGAAAGAAAGATATGGATGCGATGGCAGTCAAAGAGGATACTGGAAGGTTTCGGCGGCTTCAATGACGGTGGTGGTGATCGTGTGCGTTGAGTGATGGGAGGTTGACACGGGAAGCTGGCCTGGCTGGCAACATGCAGAGGTTCCGTAATCCCCAGTTGCCTTGAGCTTCCACTTTGAGCACGGGCCAGATCAGGAAGCCGCCCAGGCAAGGGGAACGCGAGGCTGTTGCTACTGACGGGATGCGCTAAGCCAAAAAGGGATCGAACTGGGGCCTGCGCGCGGTGGGCCGGCCGTGGAAGAACTGAAGTGCCGCTTTAAAAAATATCCCACTCCAAAGGGGAGCATAGTGGGCTGTAGCAAGGCGACAGCGGGACACAGCATCGACGAAAAAGCTCACGCCCAACGACTTGTTAGCTCTCGAAACGGCTTTCCACCACACGGTTTCGGTAAACACACAAGCACATATCGGACGATACAAAATGGCGACAACAGCTTCTGCAGGTCCCTCGGCGGGGGCCAACTCCAACACTGCCTTCAAGGTGAGCATAAGGAGCTCCCCCCCTTCCTCCTCTACATCACGGCCTACGTAATGAACGGAGCCACAGGAGCAACAACTAATACCATGAAAGGACAAGGAGAAGCCCGTCGCCGTACGATCATCCAACATTGTTGCTGCCAGGGGTTAGTTGACCCTCTTCCTTCCCAAGCTCTCTTTGCCTTGCTCACCAAGCGCTCAGCTGTCGCCGATGCGATCAGGACCTCTCTGGGTCCTCGCGGTATGGACAAGATGATCCGAAGCGGAAGGGGCGAGACCATCATCACGAACGACGGCAACACCATGCTCAAGAGCATGTCGGTCATGCACCCCACGGCTAAGATGCTGGTCAACCTCTCTGCTGCCCAGGATGTTGAGGCTGGTGACGGAACGACATCAGTGGTTGTCATCTGTGGCAGCTTGCTGGGCGCCGCTGACAGGCTTCTGTCCAAGGGCATCCACCCCTCAGTCATCTCAGAGTCGTTCCAGCGGGCGGCAGCTGCGGCCGTCGAGGTGCTTCACGACATGTCCCAGCCCATCTCCCTCACCGACACATCCGCCCTGCTGCAGGCCGCGAACACGTCTCTATCCTCCAAGATTGTGTCGCAATACACGAACCTTCTCGGTCCCATGGCCGTCAACTCGGTCATCAAGACTATCGACCTCAAGACGGCGGACAACGTGGATTTGAGGAACATCAGGATAATCAAGAAGGTCGGAGGCACAATCGAAGACAGCGAGCTTGTCGATGGACTGGTCTTGACACAACCGGTCATGAAGGGTGCTGGCGGCCCGGCGCGAATTGAGAAGGCCAGGATCGGCCTCATTCAGTTCCAACTGAGCCCGCCCAAGCCTGACGTAAGTTGACCCCTGAACATGTGGACGCGCGAACCTTCGGCTGACCCTCTTCCAGATGGAGAACACAATCTCTGTGAACGACTACCGTCAAATGGACAAGATTGTCAAGGAAGAACGTGTCTACCTCCTCAACATGGTCAAGAAGATCAAGAAGGCCAAGTGCAACGTTCTCTTCATCCAGAAGTCCATTCTCCGTGATGCTCTTAACGACCTGTCCCTGCACTTCCTCGCCAAGCTCGGCATCATGGCTATCAAGGATATTGAGCGCGACGAGGTTGAGTTCATCTGCAAGTCGACCGGCTGCAAGCCCATTGCCGACATTGACTCCTTCACCGAGGACAAGCTTGGATCGGCCGATCTCGTTGAGGAGGTGCAGTCGAACGGAGCCCGCATGGTGAAGGTCTCTGGCGCCAAGGCGACCGGCAAGACCGTGTCCGTTGTCGTGCGTGGTGCCAACTCCCTCATCCTTGATGAGGCTGAGCGCAGTCTGCACGATGCTCACTGCGTTGTCCGCTGCCTGGTCAAGAAGAAGGCCCTCATTGCCGGTGGTGGTGCCCCTGAGATTGAGATCGCTGCGCAGCTTTCCAAGCGCTCTCGCGAGCTGACTGGCACTGAAGCCATCTGCTGGAAGGCCTTCGCCGACGCCATGGAGGTCATCCCCACGACGCTGGCTGAGAACGCCGGTCTCAACAGCATCAAGGTTGTCACTGACCTGCGTCACCGCCATGAGCTTGGCGAGAGGAACGCGGGTGTGAGCATCAAGTCGGGCGGTGTCAACTCTAACATCTCGAAGGAGAACGTGCTGCAGCCGCTGCTTGTTTGCACGAGCGCTATCGAGCTCGCGGCAGAGACGGTGAAGCTGATTCTGAGAATTGATGACATTGCCCTGACCAGGTAGACGGAGAAAGGAGGAATTGAGATATCCACGTCAAGATGAGTGTTTGACATGACCGGAACCTTTCATAGCAGGGGATCCAAGAAAATAGACACGCTCACGGCGCAAGCACATACTCGTCCTTACCTCAAGGTATCAGCAACCAAACTCGTTCAACGTGACTTGAACATGCTCAATTTCAGCATCCTGCCTTGTGATTGAGCCTCCAGTTGCTACAAGGACTTGGCCCCCTTTACCTCTGAGTGTGCCGGAATCTTCGATGGTGGGGGTGACTAATACAGCGACTGGCCACCCAAGAATAGGGGATCCAGCAAGCCCCTCAGCAGGTTGGGTCCGCTGGGAGAACGACTAGCACGATAACGCGTCACAAGGGTCCTGGCCAGGATTGAGATAAGAGCCTCCATTAGAAATGGGAATCCACGAGAACTGCTATCGAGGCAGGCCAAATTGCAGAAGAAATGGGGGTTCAAGTAGTGGTGTATTGGTTAAGTGGCAGAATGCCAAACAAGGAATATCTGGTGACCCTTCAATGATGCACGTCCTCCGCAGGTGTATACCCCCATTGTATTGCATTCTCAGTCCCATTCTCCCAAGCCATCTCCCAGGGAAGATATGCGTAGGTAGGCGGGCAGGTAAGGCAGTCCCACTGTAGTTGGTCGCTGGAGCACTACATGTGCGAATAAACATCGATGCTCGCGTGTCTCGAGGTGCCCCTCCAAACTTTCCCCGAGATATCCAGAGCCTGCTTTCTGCGAACGTCGTACTTATCAAAAACTCAGTTGGTCTCGGGGCCACTGGGCAGGAGGTCAACTTTCGAATAACCTTTCTTTTGACTTCGGTCAGCTAAGCTCAGCTCCACTCATCTCCATCTCCACGACTGTACATATATTTCGTCATCCGCGGTTGAGCTCCAAGATCCTAGAACTTCCGGCGACACCGCTCATTCCGACTGCTTCTCGACATCAGCACCCGAAATCGAACCCAGAGACTGGTGCCACAAAGTGCCACAGCCGCAAGCGATCTGGCCATCTGTTGCCTTGCGAGACTATACCCAATGTTTTGAGATGTCAAGTCCCCGTTGGAGGACCTGGGTCAACCATGGCAGAGAGCGATGGGCGCCAGTACATCGACATATCCTCAGACTCTGACTCTGATGGATCCTATCCAGACAACGATTCTAGGAGCAGCTCGAGCATTTGCCCTTATCGGACGGCGGAATACCACGACAGAGAATGTCGCCAGTTCTTTGATTGCCCGACCCATATCGTGGAGCGCAATCTCTCCGACACCGAGGACGAGGCTCTCGACGGCGGCGCGATGAACCACTCCGACCCAAGACCTGAGACACAGCCCGACACAGTTACCGAAGAGCATATCGACTCTCGGTTACCACAGTCAGAAAGTGGAGGCTTTGCTCCCGTGGACGGAGCGCGCATAGGCTCTCTTCCCCTCCGCTCGAACTCTGCCCACGATACAGGACACCCTGAGACAGTTCATACGCTGGTCAACCCGCAGCCTGATGTTGCATCGACGCCAGCTTCAGAAACCAGCACGCAACTACGAGAAACTCAGGATGCTGTGCCCTCGGTTTCATCGATTCCGTCGCCCGAGCCACCAGTCACATTAGCCGACCATCCCCCAAGAACGAGCAGCCTCCCAAGGCCAGAAGTCATAGACCTTGTACGAGATGCCACTCCATCAATGCCTACATTACTGGGCTCGCCATTAGTTGCACGACGTGGAAGCGAACGTGGGTCTATCACAAGCAGTCGCAGCCAGCAGCAGCCAGCAGAAGGGAGAAACGGGTCCTCTGAGATAGTCCTACCACGATGGCAGCCTGATGCGGAGGTTACCTTCTGCCCTATATGTCGCACGCAGTTCAGTTTCTTTGTTAGGAAACATCATTGCAGGTTGGTCCGTTCTCTCCATGCCTCAAGAGCAGTCTGCCTAACAGTACTAGAAAATGCGGGCGAGTCGTATGTAACGCATGTTCACCTCACCGAATCACCATTCCATATCAGTACATTGTGCAACCGGTCGAGCAGCCCCGCCACGCCGCGCAAAGATACCCCTCGTCTCTCATCAGCGGCGAAGGAGGTTACGCCGATTTTAGTAGTCTGGGTGGAGGAGAGCGGGTTCGCCTATGTAACCCCTGCGTCCCAGATCCTAACACCAGTCCACCGCAGCCCCGAGGCTCACCTGCCCAGTTGTCGCCTCGTGTAGCTCACCAGAGAGCACGTAGCAACATGGACTCTGCCGTCACGGGCGATCCGCCTTCTGGCAGGTTCCAGGGATATTTCTCGGCAACGCCTGGCCAAGATGCTTTTGTAAGATCGAGGAGTGTTACGGTACGTCTTATTGCTTTACTTGTGATGCGGTCTACATGCTGACTGGCAGTAGCATTCCGGTCCAGGTGTGGGGTCGTCGACGGCTCGTGCCACGTACATTGGGGCGCAGAACAGGATTCCCATCGGGACGCCAACGACATACTTCCCTGCTTCATCGTCTGCCTCTGCATATCCTGGTGCAGCACAAAGCCGATATCGGTCGATGCTAGACGTGGGCTCATCATCGTCATCGGCCGCCCAGAATCGTGCGCTGCCGCCACCTCCACCTCCGCTGGCCGAGGAGGACGAATGTCCCATTTGCCATCGAGAACTCCCACCTCGACACCTACCCGACTTTGAAGCTCTTCGGGAAGCCCACATTACCATTTGCATTACGTCACACAGCAGATATCCTGGCGGAGGCGGCGGGACGCCGGGCGAGACCCCTCAGGATTCCGTTGACGGCACCCCTCCTCCGCTTGCTGCTCGTCGGACCGGCATGTTCCCGTACGTGGCGACGGAGAAAGACTGTATCGACTCAGCAGAGTGTACCATTTGTCTGGAAGAGTTCGTAGCCGGTGTACAGATGGCGAGACTCGAGTGCCTCTGTCGCTTCCACCGGTCGTGCATTTCCGCGTGGTTCGTCAACCACCCAGGACGCTGTCCTGTTCATCAACACGACAGTTACGGCTACTAAATTGAAGTTATCTCTTCTTCCTTTTTCTTTTTCTTGTTTTTGAGCACGATCACGCAGTGGAGTTTCGGTGGCATGGCTGTTTTCTTTTCTCGGCTGAATTGGAGCGTTTGTGGCATGCGTGCGTGGTGGCATTTGTGTTTTATTTTCTCGCAACCTCCACAGTCAGTTTTCAGAGAGGTACGGCTGCTTTTTCTGCAGCGAAGAAATGATACAGTATCAGTATGTCTTTGTCTGGCGTCGTTGCGCATTGCTCGTCTGCGAGTCTGCGATATGTGAGATGCGTGCAGGCTAGACGAGCAGACCCCCCCCTTAGCGCTACCGGTCCCGCTGGCGCCTATGTGGCATCAATCTACCCAAACCCCGGTCCACGGGTCGCGCTAGGCACACACGAGTGTGTGAAGGAGATCTGTTGTCTGGCAAACGTCGATTGCCGTTCTTCAGGGTGCCATTCAGGCCGCGGGGAGCTCGGGACTCATGGTGTCCTTACCTTGTTGGAGCCTCAAAAGCGCTAGCGGCCTCGCTGCTCTTACACTGGATCAGGCTGGCAGTGTAAGACGCTGTGCCGAGACGTGACGCTTCGCAGAAGTGATATCACATATATATACAACATACCCTAACCCCATCGTATGCAGCAACTCGATGTGAAACGCGACCAGCAGTGATTATCGTGGGTGTGCTTTGCTCGACCATTGGACAAAATGGCGCACCAGTCGAGCTACCAGCAACATCCCCTACCTGCCTGGCTCGTGCCTGTTTTTGACTTTGTAGGGCAAGTTCCGCGCATGGGAGCCTGCGCACTGTTTCAGTCAACGCGACAAAGGATACCAGGCAAGCGCCGCCGTCTCGATTATGCCTCCCTTGTGAGGTAGACTTCTCAAGTGTTCAGTCTGGTCTACTCATACACGGGAGCCTAAGGTCTCGGGTCCATGGGTGACAGTATGGTCGCAGGCTCAGGCGGCCTCGCTTTTTGTCCATTGCATCCTGGTCCCGGAACGAGTGCGTAGTGTTCGGAAAGCGTCTGTCCTGGACTCACACATCAACTGGGGCTGAACGCGGTATGGGAGAATCAGTGGCTACATGAGATTTGTATCGTGTTTGTGCCTGGCGTTATGATGCCGCCGCGACACGCAGCCAAGACGTGCGAGGTTTTCACTGCTTGCGTTATTAGCTTCAGAGGGAAGGGCGCCTGGTATTTTGCGATACAGACCATGAGCTTGCGCGTTCATTGTGACGGCGCAAACGCTAGACAGATTTGGTAGCATGGGCAAGACCCCGGTGATTTGGGGCTGTGGCTATTAAACGGTCCCGGCCAGTCTCCTGGAGCAGGCAGTATGAAATAAAGGAAAGAATCGAGAGAATTACAAGATTTGAGAACTTGGACTCGAGACTTCAAAATCATGGCGTTCCTCGGTAATACAATAACCCTGAAAGTAACGTTCATGAAGTCATTGGATCGAGCAGGTAGGTGGGCAAAGGGACAGCACGTTTCCTGCAGATCACTCCTCCCACTGCGCCGGCCGGCCGGGTAAGTCGGCACGGCTCAGTCTTATCAGATCCAAAACTCCGGGGGTCCACGGCTCATCACGAGCCTCCGCCCGGTGAGCACTCGGAGCTAAGAAGAGGGAGATCGAGTAGCGGCTGGGGAGAACGGCCTTGATTTCTCTAATCATTTATGAGACCGACAGGACCGACTTTCACCATCAATCAATCATCCACTCTTCACATTCACGCTGCACCAGCATCGTCACCATGGCTCTTTGGCTCAATCTCAGCCGGCACGCGCGAATGCGCCGAACATTTCCTCCGCCCCGTCAACTCGAGTACATGGCAGGATAAACTCCCCCGAGTTGCGTTCGAGACCGTCTTAACCAGGGGCTGACGAAGTGCAGGACTAAACGCCCATTTGAGCCTTTGGCGCAATTGTCTTCCAAGCGCCAGGATAGAAAGCCTGAACCATAAGTTCAGAGGTCAAACTGTTGCCATATGCCGTGATGCTGCGCCGACGAGCGACTCAGAAACCCATGAATGAAGCATGATGCCTGCGCGATTAGGACAGATCCTGACGTCTGTCATTACGTTAGTTCTGTATGCCTTCTGAGCATGTGGATAGCAGAAGCTTTTCCTGAACCTTTCCCTTCACCTTGCTTAGGGTCCCTGAGTTTCAGCTTAGGCTATATCTAGCCTAGGACGCGCTAAACCCCGTCGTTCTCGACCAAAGGGCAGCATCGCATCGTTTATTCAGGGGTGTACCCCAGCTTGCCCAGGAGGTTCCTGAAATTCGGGTGTGGAACCTCGTCGATGGGGTCTGCCAGGGGCGATCTGGACATCATTTGGAGCCTCGCTGCTTTTAGAAACCGAGCGATGAGGCTCGTTTGCCCATTTGCACAACTCAGCCACAGTACACAGATCCCGCAGTAAAGCTCATGCTGTGGAAACGGTTGCTTTCACTGAACCCGAACTATGAGGCATCCCATCATCGTCAGCAGGCGAGACCTCGAGGTGCATCCAGATCTAGGACCTCATTGAAGCGCATGCAACGAATTGCCGGTTCTGGCCCATGACTCATCACTTGAGTATCAGGTCAGTTCAATCTTTGGCGACGTGGTCTGAAGCTTCAAAACGGAGCTGCAGGGAGCTGTTAAACTCACGGCTAAGCAGTCTCAGTTTGCCCTTGACTCGTAGACATGCATGTAAATCGTGGCGTGTATTCCGAAGAAAACCCATGATGGACCATTGCGTGCGTACTGATGTTTTGCACCCTGACGGTCGTGGGTATGCTTTTGAAGGTGACATACTTCATAAACTCGTCAGGCACACCCTGTGGTGTTTGTGGGAATCTGGTGCGACCATGATGATCTGCCTCTCGCCGTGTAAACTAGGTACCTACAAATCCCGTCTGGATATATATGAAACCTATATTCGTACATGGTGTAATATGTATTCGTTGAAGTTGTTGGTTCAACCACTGCTACTCACACCATGTTGTCTCGTGTTATAGACTGGCGTTCAGTTACGCTCTTGACCAGACAAGGCAATCAGCGTCCAGTCAAGTTTACAGGTCTTCGAGTCGTGAGAGATGGCGGTTATCTCTCGCGCCGCGAAGGAGTTGGAAAGGCGTGACAACGTACCAAGCCGGCTGACCGCCTCGTACATCTGGAGGGCCGAAACGCCAGGAATCGTGGGAGAACGATCGGGACTTTGCTCAACGAGAAACTTCCGTTCTGTCGTTGCATGTTGCACAAAACCATGCGCAACGACATCTGGCCTGAGGTGTGGCTGAAACGGCACTCAAGGCGCGACGACCGAGTAAGAGTGGCAAGCACGCTAGCCTCGATCAAGGGCACTTGGTGCATGGTGCCTACATGTACATGTACATGTACAGTACAACCCCTCCAATGCGCCTTCCCTGCAGAAGAAATCTACAACCTGCTCATGCTCCATCTATCCTTCGAGGCTCCTCTCCTTCTCGTCCCTTCTCGTCCCCCCCTCGCCTCGTCCCTGGAGATGGTTTGCCGAGTTTTTGTTTTCTCCACTGCTCATCTGCCCACCATGCACACCACACCCCCCCTTCCCCCTTCCCCCCTCCGCCCAAGCCTGTCGTTCTTTTTCTTGTCTGGAGGCGGGAGGCTCGGCTTGATCCTGCCATCTGCGGGTCGGTGGGCGTCGGTGATGAGGGCGCTGCAAGAAGGATCGTGGGCGGCGGCTGTGGTGGTGAGCACGGCGAGATGAGAAAGTGCAAAGGGATGAACTGATCCCGAGTCTACCATGTACATGGTACAGTAGTACAGATCATCCGTTTTGGATTGGTTTTTTTTACTTTCTTGCACGTGGATGGTTGGCCACCCGTCTTCGCCATACCGCATTCCTCCTCCTCGGGTCCAGCCGCGCAAAATGCAGTCGTCCGATCCGATGGAGACCACCTCACGTCACATCGCGGGCAGCGGCAAGCGTACATGTCAAACTAGCCAGAGATTCATCAGTGTCTAGACCATCGACACCCCTTTCCTCCCCCCCTTCCCCTTCCCCTTCCCCTTCCCCGCCTGTCAGGAAGAACTGTAAACGCGCGACGGGCGAGCCCATCTCAACGGTTGCCAATGCCGATACTGGGCGCCGCCACGCGCCCACCCCTCCTCTCATATCCCGGAACAGCACTAGCCCCCCCCCGGTAATCTTAGATGAGCAGAATGTTATTTCTCTCACCACCATCTGCAGCCTCGCGGCGGGCCTGCACATGAAGGGATCCGGCCTGCCGGCACGACCGCTACAGGGTCAGGCGCTGTTGGTTTTCTTTTCGTAGGCAGGTCGTCTTGTAGCCCTTGTTCGGACATGACTCTTGAGTTTGGGGGGGGGGGGGGGAGGGCGTAGGGTAGAGTAGATATATGGTATGCCCAACCCGCGCATCCTTTCTCGCCTTCTCATGTCAACTGCTTTTTTTTTGGTCTTCACCTTGACTTGGTCTTAATTCTGTTCCTACCCTTGCGGTATCGTCATTCCTTCGTTACACACGCTCTTTTTCTCATCCGTTCCGTTCACCTGTGAATACCCTTGTTGTCCATAGCCCCCCCTTTTGCACTCACAAGCAACTATCCCGCCCTCCAGACACATCGTCAGCCACGTCCCTCGACCCTCGACACAATGAGGTTCCACTCGCTCGTTCTCGCCGCCTCGGCCGCCCCCGTCGTCCTTGGCTGTGCCATCCCCATAACCAGGACGGTCGTCGTTGAGGTCCAGCTCTACCCTGTCGCCACCCAGGTGCCGCCCGGCCCCGACGCCCTCTACCCCGCCCCGCCTGCTGAGACGCCCAGCGACCCGGCGCCTCTCGTCGCCGTCAAGCCGTACGTCCCGCCTTCGAACCCCACGGACCCGGAGCCTACGAACCAGGACGGGCCTGCTCCCGCGCCTGCTCCCGCGCCTGCTCCCGCGCCTGCTCCCGCGCCTGCTCCCGCGCCTGCTCCCGCGCCTGCTCCCGCGCCTGCTCCCGCGCCTGCTCCCGCTCCCGCGCCTGCTCCCGCTCCCGCGCCTGCTCCCGCTCCCGCGCCTGCTCCCGCTCCCGCGCCTGCTCCCGCTCCGGCCCCAGCCCCAGCCCCGGCCCCAGCCCCCGGCGCCCCCAGCCAGCGAGCCA